ACACACACACACTTAAATATTATTTATATATTTGCATCATATGTATGTACATTTTAACCCAATGTGACTTAACATTATTATTATTTGTTTTGTAAAATGCATTTGCACATAGAAGGCTCCACAAATGCGGAGCCACCAAGGAGGCAATTAGTAGTCGACGTGACCTCACCTGACCTATAGTCTTATGAATATTGTTACTGTTATTATTGTTATTGACATTGGTGTGTTTGTAAGTCTACTGCTATCAATGCAAAATTAAAGAAGATATTAAAAAAAAAACAAGGAAGATGTTAAGCATGCAAGATCAGTAGGATTAGTAAATGACTCCTTAATGACAAAGCCCTTGTGGAGCCATCTATGTGTAAATACAATTAACATCTAAACTCACTGTGGTCATGGCATGTACATACATGCCATCCCTGGTGGGTTACATTGATATATTTATATGCGTAGATATAATTGTTATCTTTCCAAATGCATTTGTTTGGCCCTTCATCGTCAGATGTCGTGTTTATGATTTGTAATTATTTAAGCATGATTTCTTTATAGCTGTGAATAACATTATTTTTTAAAAATTACTAATACCCCTGCTTTTTTTTGTTCACTTTGTCATCTGGTTCTACTATTGAAGAATCAAGGATTGCATGTCCATGTGTGTGTCACCAATAGTCACTTTATGTCTGCCCTTTTTTGTGTTAAGGAGAAAGCAGAAACCACCTCTGTTAAATCTGACAAATCGACCAATACGAGTGGCATAGCATCCTCTTGTGTAACGGGTGACAGCCTTTCCATATCCAGTGGTGATACCATCAATAACTTTGAAGGGGGAACAGCAGAGTACAAGGTAATTTCAGCAAAGATGTCAGAAGAATGTACATTGAATGTATTCCCTCCTGTAGTAATGGCTTTTATAAGGTATGGCACTTTTCTGATGGGACTTTAAAGATTTGTGAATAGATGAAAAAAAAATTAATTGTGATATTTTCCCTTGTAATATAAAAGGGCTTGATATGAGAAGCAATTAGAAATCTAAATATATTAATATATTATAAGATTGTAAGAACGTTATGCAACTCAGATAATAGCTGATTTGGGTCTTTCAGTGATTCAGGTTGTTAAAGTAAACTCAATGATTGTCCAACAAAATGAGTTAACAAAAAATTAGGAACTCAAACAAACTAAGAATTTCACAGTTAACTTGTGAGATTTCCCTGTGCTTTACCAAGCCACGTGCCAGGCTTTGCACACAGTCTGCTGATTGAGTGAAAATAAGAAGCACTAGAAAGATACATTTAACCCTTGCACTACACTTTTGGCTATATTATGCATGATTTTTTAGGAAATGGGGCAGAAAAGGAACTTATAGTCTGCTTTTGAGGGGTTGTATCTCCTGGAGACGTTGGTCAGGCCAAATCAGTAAAAGTTGTTTAGTTTGCACAACTTAGAGCTGGCTTGATTGCACATAGCAGGAGGGGCTTGTCACCTGGAATTTGGACCCAGTTAGTGATGATGTGATTAGACATCATCCAGTATGAGTGGGTTAATCTAAGTAAAAGATCTTGCCTGTAGACTTGCCTAATTTGAAACTGAGGTAGTACTTGTTAACACTTTACACTCTTTTGTTCAATACATGTACCAGGAATAATTCTGTACTCTTGTATTCTTTCTTGCATACATTGCCACATTTTTAGTTTCAGTGTTGGTATACTTATTATGTTTTTTTCTTTCATTTTATTATCTATGGATTTTAGAGTCAAAGGTATTTGAAATACAGAATAACTAGAATAGCAGGTGCTTCCCATAATGGTGTACATAGAACAGGTAATGGTTATATGGATATCTGAGGTAGACTTTGATGGAGTGTGATAGTAAAGAAAGATGTTAGTTCTTCAAAATTTCCTACATGTTCTTAATTTGTAGATTATTTTGTTCTTATTTGTATATGCTGTAAGTTTTTTCTCAAGCTGATATTTCTATAAGTGCCCTTTATACTTGCTTGCTAGATCTTGTGTTGCATGTTTTAATTGGAGATACTATGATTCTGTACCATTCACAGGTGCCAGTAGATCAGGCACACATGGAGGAGATGTGCCTGAAGGTTGGCGAATTAAAGATCAGAAGAAAGTCAAGCAGCAAGGAGAGCCTCCTTGACACACACAGCATGAAACAGAAAAGAGGCTCCACGGAAACCCTGCACACTTTCAAAGAACGATTAGGAGATGGAGAAGAAGATGAGACAAAGAAGAAGGTGAAAAATATGAAGAAACTGAAGCAAGAGTGGATAGCTCGAAGCCTAACAACTCTTGCCCCGAGGTAAGATAAATATACTTTATTCAGCTGACAGTGGGAGTGAACCAAGCTTGGATTGGGTCATGTGATAGTGACTATTGTAGTTATTGTAACAATTAACAACTACTCTTTTCTCTCTTAAAGATACCAGTGTCACAGTCAGGAGTGTTCCATTATGTCTTGCTTGACCAACTTCACGGCTCCAGAGCTTTTGATGGGTAACAACAAGATCACCTGTGAGAACTGTACAAAAATTCACAGTCAGTTACATGGAGGTCAGTATGAGAAATATTGGTTAATTTTTACTGTGATGTCTGTTTTCTATTCTACAGAGACATTTGCTTCATGGGTTGGGTTGGGCTTAATGTTTTTTTTATATTATTATCCAATGCTGTTTCAGAAGAGAATGTTGAGCCTGTAAAGAGCAATGCCAGCAAACAGCTCTTGATCCTCTCTCCTCCTGCTGTATTGACTCTGCAGTTGAAACGTTTCCACCACATGGGTTTCAATCTCACCAAGGTCAACCGTTATGTGCGATTCCCACTGGTTCTAGATATTGCTCCATTCACATCATCAATCTCTTTGGTAAGTATAATTTTTAAAAATTATTTTTGAAATACAGAGTCTGATATTTCAAAGAAAATACAGGGGATCCTTTTTATTAGTCATTTTGTGGAGGCATAATTATTTACATTTTACTCATTTTTTCGCACATATATATCCACAAACTTATTAAAAGATAATAAGAAGCCAAAAAATATAAGAAGCTGCACTGTGAAATGAAATTACAATTAACCCAGTGCAGCCTGTAGTTTTGTTTTGTGAAATATAGATGGCTCCATAAGTGCTGAGCCAACAAGGAGTCAGTTAGTAGACCTTGTGACATCCCCTGATTTCCCCTTTCACTGAGTTTTTGGTATTTTCTCTTACTTACCGATGCTACCAATATTCCATATACTAACCTGCAACATGTAAATAAGTTGCTCTGATTAATCCTTTATGGTAATCCCATGTTCGTCGCCAATTTTGTATCGTTGGATCTTCTTTTAACCTTCAATAATATGGTTAATTATTTACTGACTTGTAAGATGCTTCTTCTTTAATGAAGATCTTGTATGGGAGAGGTTAGTAGTCTACATACTTGTTGGTAGGTGGTGTGCATACATAGAAAATGGGATGTAGGAGATGATTTTAAATGTATTGTTAGTAATACCCTAATACAAAGTACAAAACTAAATAGGAACTGTATAACTGATTCATATATAACAATGTTATTAATGCATTGCCACAGGGGATGACATGTATAGACATACCATGACCACTGTGAGTTCAGTAAATTAATTGTCTTTACACATACATGGCTCTACAAGTCACATACATGGATTCAGAAGTACTTAGTCACCAGTGAGCCAATTACTAAGGCTACTTATTTCACCTGTTTACTTTTTCTTTGATTTTCAGAAATATTATCTTCTTTCTTATTTTGATATTGATAATGTTAATGACATTATAATAATTATGGTTAAAGTAAAAAATAACAACATCAATATTGATGACATTAGTAAAAGGAATATATTGACAACTTAAGTAAAGGTGAAATCAGATGTCACAAGGTCTACTACTCCTAGAGGCAAAGCACTTGTAGAGCCATTTATGTGTAGAGAGATTTCACAAAACAAAACTACAATTAACACCACAATATCCTGGTGGCATTGAGTTAGCATTACTAATAGCAATATAGGATAAAAGAAAATATTTCTGAAAATCAAGGAAAAGGATAAACAGGTGACTAAGCACTTGTGGAGTCCTCTGTGGGTAAAGACAATTAATAAACTAAACTCATTGGGGATAACATGTACACATAGGCCATGAATTCCAGAATATGTCTACATTTACAAAAGAGAGCTTATGTCAACTTTCCAGCCACTTGAAATAGCTTCAGGCTGTAGCACCCTGCACTCTTAGGTGTTGTCATTGATGTTGATTTACCTCCTAGGCTCATAAATAGATAATGGTTGATGCAAACCCACCCATTGTACATGTTAATGCAGATAAGATGGAAATTATATAAAAGAATAAAATTGGTGCTGGCAGCTGATAATGGCTGCATCTATTGACCTTCTTGATTTTTCTGTGAATTTTGAAATACATTGAAATATTTTAGAAAATTCCTAGCTGTTTTGACAACATTCAGCAAGCTCAGAGCAGAGTTTCATTGCAGCATATGCAAAAGTAACATTTATATAGGTAATTTGTTAGATAACATATTTTTTGGTCCAAATTAATTACAAATAATGGGGATACCAAGTCCACTGTGATTTTAAGTTATTAATTTTGTATACAGAAACATGGTCCCACAAGGCCTTTATCTCTAAGGACTCAAATACTAGTCCTACGTAGTCCTATCTTGCCTATTTACCCCTTTTTCTAATTGTTTTAGAAATGTTTTTTATTTTGTCTTTATTGCTATTAGTGGTTTCAGTAATGATGATAATGGTAATATTGGTAAAATAATAATATTGACGACAAAAAAAAAATTCTTGAAATTCAAGGAATGTGAATCAAGTGAGGTCAGTCAGGCCTACTAACTGACTCATTGATGACCAAGTACTAGTGGAGCCATCTATATGTAAATAAAACTGTAGTGGATTGGACAATGCCTGTATCCAGCACTAATGGTTTAACATCAATCTTACCTTAGTTGTGCTCTGTTTCAGGGTTTGGGTAACATGTCCCGAGGCCAGAAGCAAGTTCTTTATGGTCTCTACAGTGTTGTCGAGCACTCTGGAAGACTCAACTCAGGCCACTATGTTGCCTATGTTCGCTCTAGACCCCTGGATCCCAACCGCACCAACAAGCAGTTCCTCAATCTCAAGCCCTCTAGTCAGTTTGAGATCAATCACCTGGTGACAGAGATGGCAGAAAAGATTGAGGCTTCCTCTGGCATGCTGGACAATGACTTGAAAGGTTCATCTGCAAATACAACCTCAGTTAATGTTGAGGTAAGTTTTTTTTCTTTTTTTCATTTTGACATTTGTTTAACCTGTAGTAAACTGGAATATTATTTTTTATTTATTTTTTTTTCTCATATATCTTTTCTGCTTCCTACATGATATCATGTAAAGTTAAAAAAATTGGTAAAGAAAAGATTATCATGTAATGTCATCAAAACATTCAGTAAGATAACATTTGTTCTCTCAGTAATGCAAGGAGGAATCTAGAAAGTTTATTCACCAAACCATTGATTAAAATTTAGAACCTTAAAACAGATAGATGAGAAAAGATGTTTTATGTATGTATGATGTCGTTTTTTTTTTTTTGTTTCTTGAAATTTGTTACTTATAATTAGAATATTCTAAAACATTCTTAAAAACTTTTCTCAGATATCAGTTCTGAAGTTTAGTAAAGGGGCTTTAAGGGGAGTGGGCAGTTGGGTGAAGGGGTTGAGTTCGAAATGTCATTTTCTGGGAAAATATTTTATTGCAGAGATACTACATCTGGCAATACTCTGATGAAGTTTTGCACTTATATTTATGCAATATTATATTTTTATCTCATTACAATCAGTAATAACAATTTTCCCCTCCAAACTGGCAGCTCCCCTCGAGTTTGATTCATTAGCAGATGATGATACATCTAGGATATCAGGAAGACAAAACAATGTGTTATATTTTGATATTCTTTGAATATCTTTGCAGGAATTGGAGGAAGAGGTGAAGGCTGGTCGCTGGTTCCATGTCTCAGATGCATATGTTGCAGAAGTAAACATTGAACGAGTCATGAAAGCGCAAGCGTACCTATTATTTTACGAACGTCTGGTCTGAGCCAAGTAGAAAGTAGATTGTATATAGTGCTTCAGACTTAACTGATAGTTTACATTTGTAATAACTATTTATTTGTACATTTCTCAGTACTTGGTCTGTATAACTGAAATTATTTTTTGATCATGATATCCATGTTCTTTTATTGGAGAACATATATTGGTTTTCATGATTAGGCATCTTTAAGAAGACATGAAAAATATATTGGACAAGATCAGATAGACTGCAGATCAGTTAGTAAATGCCACAAATTCTCAGTATCTATTTTTCATGTCAATTATTAGTTTCTTACATCTCAAGTTATTTTTTAGACTGTTTTCTGCCCCATCATGTGGACACTACAAGTTCTCTCTCTTTGAGATGGATGCATTATTTTCTTGGGAATAAGCACACCAATCACAATAAAGTTTTCATGTTTTCGTAAAGGTAAAATCTAGCCCATTCAATGACCAAGGCCATCACAGTGTTATATGGCTATGTGTTTATTGAATGTTTTTAGCGACTGGATGGAGGGGTGTGGTGGATAATGTACAATTTCGGTATAGGACAGTAGAAAAGGCTCCTGTAGAATAAGATTATGTATTGTAGATTATGTATGATACATTTTAGAGAGTTCTTCAGTTGTCATAATATCATATTATAATCAATTTTGACTGTGATTGTTTGCAGGTACTTTGAGATAATGTCATTGACATTTCTTAGAGAATGGTGTATACCTCCTTTGCCAGCATACCTGTCAATACACATTCAGAATTATATGTAAACTTAGTTTACTGTAGAGAGAAAAGTGAAAGCATTGATATTTTTTCTAGGATGGAGACCCAGCCAAGCTCTCCTTTTCATGATAGTTTCCATTTGTATCTATTTTTGCCACACTTTTCATTACTGAAAATTGAAATAGAGACTGATCAATGTAGATCTCTAGGAAAATGGGAGCTTGAGGCTCATCTGGGGGGCAGCTTTTCACATCATCTGTGATAAAGTATTCATGTCTAGCAATATGTTACTGATTTTTGTTTTCCTTAGTTTCTGGTGAATGCCATATCATTAGGTGTACATTTTATCCATGGTCATCCAGCTCCATTTATATCCCATGAAACAAGTTTGTGAGCAGTGTTTGAATAGTTTTGAATATATTTAAGCGTGTTGATCCTGCTATAATCTGATTATCTTGAAGACTTGAAACTTTTTTTTCTCTCTTCTTTTTATACACATTTGATAAACTATACACAAGAATGACTGAATGGGGAGTATTGTGTTTGTAATGTTGTTGGAGTTACTGGCTTTTTTATGGGAAAGTGTTGATGGAAAGCAGTGGTGCCCCTGATAGAAGGTATGTGAAGCTCTTAATATCAGGACAAATTACTTTCAACCATATTTTGTCATGTAA